CAATTAAATTAAACCATACAATTTCTCTTTCTTTCTTTCTTTCTTCTTTCTTTCCTTTCTTTCTGCGTGTTGAATTATTCATGTCCACAGTTCATGGCACTATGTGACTTAACTCTCTTGGGAGGCCCCTTGTTTATTTTTTGTTTATTTATTTATTCCTTTCTATACCCCTACCCCACTCCACATCTCTTCTCTGACTCACAGGAAGCCATTCTGTTATACTTATTTGTGTCTTTTTGTTTGTATGCATGCTTAGAAAATGTGCTGTGAATATGTGCAAATTTTACATTTAAATATTTTTGTTAGGGTATAATTTAACATATGATAAAATTCACCTTTTTTAGTGTACAGTTCCACAAGTTTTGATGAACACTTACAGTCATGTAGCTACCACTACAATCAAGATTTAGAAGGCCAGGCATGGTGGCTCATACTTGTAATCCTAGCACTTTGGCAGCACAGGCAGAAGCATCACTTGAGCCCAAGAGTTTGAGACCAGCCTGGGCAACATAATGAGACCCCATCTCCACAAAAAAATTAAAAAATTGGCCAGGTGTGGTGGTGCATGCCTGTAGCCCCAGCTACTCAGGAGGCTGGGGCAGGAGGAGAAAAGATTTAGAACAATTTCATCACTACATAAAAGCTCCCCTTTGTCCCTTTGTAGTTGGCCCCTCCCTCCATCCCCTGGCACCATGGATCCATTTTTTGTAGGGACAGAAAGTATAGTTTTGCCTTTATGAGAATGTCATATAAATGGAATAATACAATATGTAGCCTTTTGAGTCTCGTGGACTTTTCTTTTCCTCTTTATTTTGAAATGATTTTAGACTTAAAGAAAAGTTGCAAAACTAGAACAGAGAGTTCCCACATACTTTGTACCTACCTTCTCCTAATGTTCACATCCTGAATAACCGTAATGTGGTCATAAAAAGCAGGAAATTAGCATTGATATGATACTATTAACTAATCTGCAGACTTGATGTGAATTTCACTGGTTTTCCCACCAATGTCCTTTTCTAGTTCAGGATCCAACCCAGGATGACACACTGTATTTAATAGTTATTTTTCTTAGTTTCTTCCAATCTGTGAGACGTCCTTGATCTTTCTTTGTCTTTCACGACCTTGACATGTTTGAAGAGTACTGATCAGTTATTTTGCAGAATGTTGTGCAATTTGGGTGTTCTGTAAAGTTAATTTTTCCCTTTACAATTTGTAAGTATCTTATGAGGT